AGTTCTATAATGGTGGAAGATCGACTTTTTTTTAAAGAGTTATGCCCTTGGAAATATTAGATTTAGGGAAAATGACCTCAATAGCGCTCTCAAGGGTACAATTCTTGCCAGATTTTTATAAAACTTATACTATAGGTTAATATCAACAATATCTCGGACAAGTTCTATAATGGTGGATGATTGACTTTTTTTAAAAGAAAAATGTCCCTTAGATATTAAATATATGGAAAATGGTCTCGTTAGTGCTCTCACGGGTACAATTCTTGCCAGATTTTTATAAAACTTATACTATAGGTTAATATCAGCAATATCTCGACAAGTTTTATAATGGTGACTGATCAACTTTTTTTTTAAAGAGTTATGCCCCTAGGAAATATTAAATATATGGAAAATGGTCAGCGCTCTCACGGGGACAATTCTTGCCAGATTTTTATAAAACTTATACTATAGGTTAATATCAGCAATATCTCGGACAAGTTTTATAATGGTGACTGATCAAATTTTTTATACGACCGCAAACAAATTTTTGTGGTCGTATATTGGTATGACGTTGGCGTCGTCGTCGTCGTCGTCCGAAGACGCATTAGTTTTCGCACTCAAACTTTAGTTTAAATGAATGGATCTCTATGAAATTTTACCATAAGGTTCAATACAACAAAAGGAAGGTGGGGATTGATTTTGGGGGTTATGGTACCAACAGTTAAGGAATTAGGGGCCAAAAAGGGGCCAAAAATAAGCATTTTCTAGTTTCCAGACAATAACTGTGGAACGGTGTATGGATCTCTCTGAAATTATACTACAAGTTTCCATACGACAAAGGGATGGTTAGGATTTGCTTTGAGGGGTTATGGCTCAAACCGTTTAAGAATAAGGGGCAAAAAAGGGGGAAAAACAAGGTTGTCCTGGTTAATGGACAAATACTTTAGTACAAAACATAATTTAAAGCAGTGTAAGGGAGATAAATCAAATACATCATTGAAATTATCTCCCTTACACTGCTTTTAAATTATGTATAAAGTAATGGTTAATGAACAATTAAGATAATTTAAAACAGTGTAAGGGAGGTAATTCAAATACAACGTTTTGGTTACTTCCCTTACACTGCTTTTAAATTATGTTTAAAGAAATGCATATTTATAAAGGGAGACCAGTAAAAATATCTGCAAATGTTGCATCTTTTTTTTTTACAAAAAAATCCATATGAAAGATTTGAAACTATATTTTAAATTCTATTATAAAATAGATTAAGTTAGCACTATGGTAAATTTAAATGGGTAATTAAGGTTTGGGGGAAAAAATGGGGGGGGGGGGGTAAAAAGAAATTGTGGGAGGTCAATTTTTTTCATTTCAGATTTCAGAAATTAAAAAGAATTATTCTTCAAATATTATTTTTTTTTCAAATTTCAAATATTGAAAAATTTCAAGAAGTAATCTTTAATTGCACAGTATGGCGCATTAGATTTGTAAAATCTTTGACCACATTTATTTATTTGTTATGCCGAATCTAACAATGTATTTAGATTTTTAATTTTGGATCCAGTTTTCAAATTGGTCTACATTAAGGTCCAAAGGGTCCAAAATTAAAATTTGTTTGATTTTAACAAAAATTGAATATATGGGGTTCTTTGATATGCTGAATCTAACCATGTATTTAGATTTTTTATTTGTGGACCCAGCTATCAAATTGGTTCATATTGAGGTCAAAGGGTCCAAAATTAAACTTTGTTTGATTTCATCAAAAATTGAATTATTGGGGTTCTTTGATATGCCAAATCTAACCGTGTATTTAGATTTTTAATTTTGGGTCCCGTTTTTTAAATTGGTCTACATTAAGGTCCAAAGGGTCCAAAATTAAACTAAGTTTGATTTTAACAAAAATTGAATTCTTGGGGTTCTTTGATATGCTGAATCTAAACATGTGTTTAGATTTTTGATTATGGGCCCAGTTTTCAAGTTGGTCCAAGTTGGGGTCCAAAATTAAACTTTGTTTGATTTCAACAAAAATTGAATACATGGGGTTCTTTGATATGCTGAATCTAAACATGTATTTAGATTTTAGATTTTTGGCCAAGTTTTCAAGTTGGTCCAAACTGGGGTCCAAAATTAAACTTTGTTTGATTTCAACAAAAATTGAATATATGGGGTTCTTTGATATGCTGAATCTTACCATGTATTTAGATTTTTTATTGTGGGCCCGCTATCAAATTGGTTCATATTGAGGTCAAAAGGGTCCAAAATTAAACTTTGTTTGATTTCATCAAAAATTGAATTATTGGGGTTCTTTGATATGCCAAATCTAACCGTGTATTTAGATTTTTAATTTTGGATCCAGTTTTCAAATTGGTCTACATTAAGGTCCAAAGGGTCCAAAATTAAAATTTGTTTGATTTTAACAAAAATTGAATATATGGGGTTCTTTGATATGCTGAATCTAAACATGTATTTAGATTTTTGATTTTTGGCCCAGTTTTCAAGTTGGTCCAAATTGGGGTCCAAAATTAAACTTTGTTTGATTTCAACAAAAATTGAATATATGGGGTTCTTTGATATGCTGAATCTTACCATGTATTTAGATTTTTTATTTGTGGGCCGGCTATCAAATTGGTTCATATTGAGGTCAAAAGGGTCCAAAATTAAACTTTGTTTGATTTCATCAAAAATTGAATTATTGGGGTTCTTTGATATGCCAAATCTAACCGTGTATTTAGATTTTTAATTTTGGGTCCCGTTTTTTAGATTGGTCTACATTAAGGTCCAAAGGGTCCAAAATTAAACTTAGTTTGATTTTAACAAAAATTGAATTTTTGTGGTTGTTTGATATGCTGAATCTAAACATGTGTTTAGATTTTTGATTATGAGCCCAGTTTTCAAGTTGGTCCAAGTTGGGGTCCAACAAAATTAAACTTTGTTTGATTTCAACAAAAATTGAATATATGGGGTTCTTTGATATGCTGAATCTAAACATGTATTTAGATTTTAGATTTTTGGCCAAGTTTTCAAGTTGGTCCAAATTGGGGTCCAAAATTAAACTTTGTTTGATTTCAACAAAAATTGAATATATGGGGTTCTTTGATATGCTGAATCTTACCTTGTATTTAGATTTTTTATTTGTGGGCCCGCTATCAAATTGGTTCATATTGAGGTCAAAAGGGTCCAAAATCAAACTTTGTTTGATTTCATCAAAAATTGAATTATTGGGGTTCTTTGATATGCCAAATCTAACCGTGTTTTTAGATTTTTAATTTTGGGTCCCGTTTTTTAAATTGGTCTACATTAAGGTCCAAAGGGTCCAAAATTAAACTTAGTTTGATTTTAACAAAAAATGAATTCTTGGGGTACTTTGATATGCTGAATCTAAACATGTGTTTAGATTTTTGATTATGGGACCAGTTTTCAAGTTTGTCCAAGTTGGGGTCCAAAATTAAACTTTGTTTGATTTCAACAAAAATTGAATATATGGGGTTCTTTGATATGCTGAATCTAACCATGTATTTTGATTTTGGACATTGGACCATAATAGGTAAATTAAAAAAATTGAAGTTCTTAGACCACATTCTTTCTGTGTCAGAAACCTATGCTGTGTCAAATATTTAATCACAATCCAAATTCAGAGCTGTATCAAGCTTGAATGTTCTGTCCATACTTGCCCCAACTGTTCAGGGTTCGACCTCTGCGGTCGTATCAAGCTGCGCCCAGCGAAGCATTTTATTTTAAAGAGTTATGCCCATTGGAAATATTAAATTTATGGAAAATGACCTCAGCGCTCTCAAGGGTACAATTATTGCCATATTTTTTTAAAACTTATACTATAGATTAATATCAGCAATATCTCGGACAAGTTTTATAATGGTGGACTATCGACTTTTTTTAAAGAGTTATGCTTCTTGGGAAATATAAAATATGTGCAATGCGGGGGACATTGGAATTCTGTTCTTTTATTCTTTTTGTTATGCATTAGAATAGGAATAACGGTTCTGTAGTTTCTTTTTCAATTTCAATTTGAACACAATGAAATCCACATAGTGTTTGCACATAGGTTACGATACATGTGGATGGTAAATAGCAACAGCCATTAATAGTACATCTCTGAGTCTGCGCTAAGTATAGATATATCTAAAATTTTATCACACTGTTGTTTACAAAGCCAAAGAAGCACGTCAAATTAGAATTGACAGTAAAACAGATTACTAGAATCACCGACACCTGACTTCTCAAGTTTAACTTTGAATTTTCAAGGACATATATGTATGTAAGAAATGTTTATGCCCCCACCGTAGCGTGTTACCCTTGTCCATCCTGTCCATATGTCTCCAAAATTGATTTACGTTCTCTTACTTTAGTTTGCCACAACAAAATGTAATAAAATTTATACCCAATGCTTATTACCACAAAACACAGATCAAGTTTGAAATTGGGTGGCGTCACTTTTACAGTTCATGAGTCATGCCCCTTTATAAACATAAAAATTGCTGATTTATTCATTTCCGTTCCCTAACTTGAGTTTGCCTCAACCAAATGTTATAAAACTTAAACACAATGCTATTACCACAAAACACAGATCAAGTTCGAAATTGGGTAGCAACACTTTAACCGTTCTTGAGATATGCCCCTTTATAAATGGAAAAATTGCTAAATCTGTCGTTTCAGTTCTCTAACTTAAGTTTGCCTCAACAACATGTTATGAAATTTATACACAATGCTTATAATCACAGAACGGTCTCTTTGACAAATTTCCCATTTCCATTCTCAATTTTATTAACTACGTGAATCCTGCATCTGTATGTGGAAGTTGACTCATGCATATTTACAAACAGGGGCATCTGTGGCCCATAGACACATTCTCCAATTATTTTTTGTTAATATTTTTATTTTTTAAATCTGCACTACAGTTAATAGATACAAGATTTTTAATGGGTATCATTAAATGTAAGATTTTCCTTAAACCAACAGACCAACAACTCAATAATTCATGTACAATATAGTTTTTGTATCTATTTCAGTAATAAACCAACAACAGAACAAACTGCAAGCTCAACTACAGAAGGAACTACAACTACAGAAGGAACTACAACTACAGAAGGAACTACAACCACTGTACAAAGTATGTAAAATGTTATCTTAATTGTTATGTTAAAGCAGTATGGCAATACCTCACTGATCAATTTTATGTTTTAAGGTTCTGTTGGCCTTCAGACAACTGAGTACATTTAAATTTAGGGTGAAGTCTAATTAGTATGAACTACTTTGTAAACTTAAAATGATGTGTAGGTTGATTTATTTATGGGCATGTAAATGTAAACTTCCACAGAAACAAATTGAAGCAATCCTGAGCATTGCCTGTCTATATGGGGGGCATTTAAAGTAAAACAGAAATTGTGCCTAGCAAGATTAGATTTTTTCATTGTTATTTATGAAGATGCATAATCAAGGGCCAAAATTAACTAAAAATGTGGGTTTTATTTTTCCAAAATTCTTTTGTTATACTTTTAAAAACAATAATACAGGAACATGTCACTGACCTTGTTGTTTAATCTATAGGATGTGCAAAATTTCATTATTTTATAAGGATTTTGTCAGGAAATTCAAAATTATGTGGGGAAGAAAAATGAAATAAGGCAATGGAATTTTTAAATAACAGTTATGTAAGTTTTCATTGAATATTTTCAGAAAAAAAAAATTAAAATGTGGTCATCTGTATCCTTTTCTTGCTACACAGCTTTAGCGGTAGATGGGTTGTAAAAAAAATCATCAGAGGTTTTGTTTCCATCAAATTTTGAAGGAAAAAATTGTTTAAAGAAACAATCTGCCCATTTGAACACAAAATCAGATGAAAAATAAAGATGCCTCAAGTGACAATTTACACAAATTATTAAATCACTTTCTAAAATTTAAGTTTTCATTTAAAAAAGTTTTACTGATCATTTGAACCACCACAATTTTAAGACATCTATTAAAACAACCTGAAGGTAATGGAGACTTATTGTAAGCATAATCTATTGTTCCTCTATTGTAGGTAAAAGTTCATCAGATTTGATATTGGGCCTAGGTATAGGATTGCCTCTAGCCATTTCAGCATTAATCATTTCAACGATAATGATATGCATGTGTTGTAGACGTAAATATAGATCAGATTCTGAATCAACAGTACAAGAACAATCAGAAGATGAGTAAGTATAAATATGAAAGCTGTTGCTTTGGAAACATTTATTTGATTTTTCATGCATTTATATAAAAACAATTAAAAGCTTTAGCACCTTAGTAGAGATAATTGATAGTATTATTCTGAATGTAGTTGAAGGATTATTAGTTGTTTGTTTGGTCACTTTTTATAAACATTTCAAGCAAGGTTTGTCCTTTATGAGATTAACTGAATATTTATTCAAAATGATAATACCTATATGTTATTTTATTTGCACATGAGTGCAGAAAAACTGTCTACAGTCAAAACAATACATACACAGACATAATGAAACTGAAAGTAAAAGTCCATTTTTATTCAAAATGATGTAATTAATGTTCATGTTGATGTAAAGAAATTAAACTATATGAGCTGACTAACTTTTTCTTGATTGAGAATTCATTTTATTATTAGTTGGAAGGTAGGGCCAGCCTTTGGTAGATATGATCCAAGTTTAAGAGGCACAAGAGGTGCTTTTGGTACAGACTTCATGAGACAGTGGAGTAGAACCTCTGGTGACAAATACCATCGAGATCAACCTGAAGAACTGGTTCATCCATATTTTGGTCCTGGTGGTTTAGACGATTTTACCACTGGAGCGGATTCAAGTGAAAGGCTTGATTTTGCACCAGGTGAGAGTTCTATATTTTATCTTTTTTTCATACATGCAGAAAAATTGTTTTCAATTAAAACAATGTGAATTATTGTAACGGTTTATTTTGATTACAGTTTCACAGTAAATAAGATATTTTCAAATATAAATGTATATGTCATAATCAACTATTTGTAGATTTTTTCAACAATACTTCTTAAAACTGACATATCATTTTTGACTTTTTTTTTTATTGTTTTGCAGATACCACAGTAGGAGAGGAAGATTTGGAAGTTCCACCAAGGAGATCTAATTTCTCCTGGGATTTTATGTTTGATATGTTGGATCCCAGAGAAGAGGTAACTTTTTTTTTACTATACTTGCAGTTTTTTACCTCACCCGACTGAGCTTTTCTCATCACTTGGCTTTCCGTCGTTGTCCTTTAACATTTACAAAAATCTTGTACTGGTCCAAATTTAACCAAACTTTACCACAATCATCATTGGGGTATCTAGTTTTAAAATGTGTCTAATGACCCTGCCTGCCAATTTGTCAGTCAATTCCTTATTGGAGTTATTGCTCTTTAATGAAGATTTTTACAAATTTTTAGTGTATCTTGAAAAACTATGATAGATATATAGAATCTTTAAAAAGCAAAATGATCAACAAGATAAGATCTACAAATATGAAAAATTTAGCTGATGTCGTTAGTAGACTCCGTATAGGAGTGATTGAACTTAAATGTTAATTTTTTCACCCCTTTTTTTGTGTTAAGGGCAAAACTCAAGAAGATTTAGAGAAACTGTAAACAGAAAAAATTATCAGCAATACAAGATCAACAAAAACAACATTTTTGTCATGAATTCTATTCTGGTCCACAAAGTTTGAGAATGTCCATTGTTGAAGATGCACATAGACCTAGATGAGCAATGCAGGCTCTTTAGAGCCTCTAGTTTTGTAAATGTACAATATTTTAAGAAATAGAGAATTAAAAATAGTTTAAAAGTGGTGTCTGAAGACCGGCCTATCATCTAACATGGCAAAAGCTAAAATATAGAACATAGTAAGTATTTTTCAATATCTTAAAAACTATTACAGGTAGAGAGTATCTGGTAGAAGTTATAAATGTAAAGATCTAATAACTGTTCATTTTGACCAAAATTATCAGAAGTATCCTTATAGAAATAATTTCTTTCAAATGATAATTATTACAAATTGTTTGCATTTTCATGCCTCACCAATAGCATGTGGTAGGGCATTATGTTTTCTGATGTCTGTTAGTCCGTTCCTCCTACTTTAGGTTAAAGTTTTGATAAAAGATTTGGTTTAAGGTACTTTGTGGTCACATCAACTTAGCCTTGATACACATGTTTGTCATGAAGTGAACTTTTCATTATATTCCAAATAAAGGTTTCGACTCAGATTTTGTGGGTCTCTGATCATGCAATAGTGTGTGTGGAGCACTATGTCCTTAAGACACATTTTATTGTTGGATATTATCTTGATAACTATAATATGTGGAGTTAAATCTAAAAGCTAAAATGATCAGCTAGCTAGACAAGATCTAAAAAATAAGTTACCATGACCAAATATTATCAGACAAACACTTATTGTGGTTATTGTCTTCAAATGATGATTTTTATTTATTTTAGATTTTTGTTAGTAGGCTTCATCATGTTCATATAGATTTTGATATATTTCCTTATGTCATTTCAAAAGTTTGAGACTAATCTTTATGCAATATGAATTTTAAACAACTTATTGTTTATCATTCATTACACTGTAGTAGGTAAGCATAAAGTAGAATCCATTTTGTTTTGACAAAAAAATCTTCACTTTCATTGATAAAAAATTCTAACTGAATTTGGAAAATGGAAGTTTACAAATTGTACATGGGATTGTTCAATCATTTTAACTAGTATACAGATTTTTTAAAGTCTCGAGAGGAGAACTTTTAATATTTTGTCAGAAAATGATTGTTTCGAAAAAAGCAAAAAATCTTGAGTGTGCTTTTAATTCCGTTTTTACATTGAATTTTTTCTAAGTAAGCCGTTATTTTGTACCTCCTTGGTCTTTCCTTCAAACTGTCCCTTGCTCACAGACCATTTATTTTGCATATGAATATGATTAAAAGGAAACTTATAGTCAACATTTCTTATGATTTTAGGTTAAGATACCAAGACCTTTTGTGGATGCAGAGGAGGCAGACTTGTTCAGAGGCAAGAAGGTAAATATTTCATCTATATTTAACATTTTCATCTGTGCATACTATACTGTTTAAGTAACAGAATACATATTTTTTTATATAATTGATTTGTTTTTCATATTTTTCCTCTTTGTTTTGTAGGTAATTTTTCAAAAAATATTGTGAACTCATTGCTTATCTGATTCTAATATTATTTATACACTCATTTTTAGAATTATTTATTGTATCTGATACTTTTTTTTACTTGACTTCTTTCAATTTTTATTTTTTTAAGCAGCATATAAATAAGAAGCCTTGAAAAATATATACTATAACACTGAGGAGCATATTTTGCGTGTTTATAAAATATTCAGCTAACAATACAACAAAGCTTTATTGTCAATCACACTGAATAGGTAATGGTGGATAGACTTAGAGAGTAGTGACAGTTGTATCTTATAAATACACAATTTATATAGTTTATACAATGATTTATCAACCCCAGAGATGTGATAATCACTGAGGCCAAAGGCTGAGGTAACTATTACATCTCTGGTATGATTTATCAACTGATATCAAAAGTCAACATTTGTTTTACTATATGACATTTTGATCCATCTCTAGTATTTCTCAAGATATTTAAATATTCTTGTTTTTGTCTCGCCTGCGACATGCTAGACATAGGGATTACTATCTGGTGGCAGCAGCGGTGTAAACTATTTGTATAAAGCTTTATATTTCAGAAGGAAGAAGACCTGGATGCTTCATACCTTACGTTTCAAAGATTCTGTCTGTCATAAGTACATTGTCCTTGAACTCATTTCCATTATTCAGCGACTGCTTGCAAAATTTTTTTTTTATGAGTAGTAGGATAACTATATTTGGTATATGGGTTCCTTTTATAGTCTTCATGTCTGACAGACAAGGTTCACCTGACCTTGACCTCATTTCATGGATCAATGATCTTTGACCTGTTTTCCTGGTTAAATCTGTTTCTTAGATACTATAAGCAATAAGGTCAACTATATTTTGTGTATGGAATGATTGTAAAGTGTACATGTGTGTCTGGCTTGGTTTATCTTACCTTGACCTCATTTTCACAGATCATTGATAATGTTAAGTTTATGTGATACTTATAGTAAAACTTTATCTTTAGGACTATAAACATAAAATCAATCATGGTTAGTAAAACAAGTGAGACATTTCAGCTATGCTTTCTTGTTACATTAAATATATAATCTGCTTTGACAAAAAGTAACTTTTATAAGTTATAATATTCAATAAATTGTCTAAAATAAAATTGACACAGGAAAAAAAAGAAAAACATAAATGAATGACATCATAAGCCTACATTTGCATTGCCTAGGAAAACAACTATATTTAGGTACAGTTTAGCTGTCCAAATCTTATATGAACCTCTAATGGTTTTTCCAGCGATGATTGTAATTCAAAAGACGATTCATTATATTCTTTTAGCCAACGAGAAAACAGAAAATGTATAGTCATATAATAGTTACATATATTGAATAGAGATGTTAACTTTTTTTTTTGTTACATTTCAGGAGAAAATATTGCATAAGAGGGATTCTAATGTATAGCAAAGATTCCTAAGAAGATGTCTTCCAAATTTTGTTCACTAATTAGAACAGAATGGAATGTAAAAAAGTGAAACGGAAATTTGATGAAGAATCTCTTTCCTGGATTATTAATGTGGTGCTTATTTATATAGGATTATTTATCTTTCCTGGAGATTACACAAGTGTTCATAAATTTTGTGACTTTGGTTACTGGATAAAGTGCAGAAGAAGAATGATTAAATTTATTGAATTATTTTATAATCTTAAATGAGTTTAAATTAAACATGATAAATTGCTATTTCAGATTCTTCTACAGGTGAATATTTGTTGAATGTTTGGGAATAACATGTCATTGCTATTTGAAAAATGTACATAACATGGTGAATATGTTATATGCATATTAAAATTAGTTTTCATTCTACTTTTACCACAACTAAAGCCATAAAATTGGAACTTATTGCCAGTTATGAAGGAGTGAAAATGAAAACTTCATGAAAAGAAGATGTTTATTTACAGTCTTTAATATTAACTGTGATGAAATTCTTGTCTATTTCATTATAAAAGCATGTCGATTGACAAATTAGGACTATACCAACATTAACAAATTGGTGATTGGTTTTAAAATCAGTTATTTGTATTTCATTGATATCAAATTTATGTGACATCTGACAATGAATACAGAATTAGTAGCCAATATGATGTAATAATATGAAATTTTCTGTAATTTAGTCATACTGATTAAAAATCAAGAGTAGTTTTTTTAGATTTGTTTAGGAATAGTTTGTAATACATGAAATTCATTGAATCTATTTTAAATTATTAAAATTAACTGTCATTTAGATGGAATATGTTTATGTTAACCTTTGTCAATAGTTGAATATTGAATTTCAAAAGCATCAACAAAATGTATTTACAAATAAAAAAGTGCATTTATTGTTTTACATCTGATTTTTTTTTTTTTTTGGGGGGGGGGGGGGGGAGGGAATACTGTTCCTTTGTTTCAAGTATATAGGAAATTAATAATAAAAATTATATTTATACAGCATATATTAAATATATTTCAATATAAGCATTCATGACGAGGGGCAGTCTATATATATCTGTGATACTTTTTTGTTACATATCATGTATATAACACTGCTGTATGCTTGCTTGGCACTTGTTTGATAATTGTACATATATATAACACTGCTGATAGAGAATGCTTGGGACTTGTTTGATACTTGTACATGTACGGCCATATAGAGAATTTGTGAGAATGGAATATAAGATGAATGTTAATTGTTGCTCCACAATGCCTTAAAAAAGCAAAATTCTATAAATTAAATTTAGTATTTCATTAGAAAGATTCATGAGGAACAAAAAATGATTGTTATGTATAGTATTTGTACTTCTGCATATATTTTTTGTGAAGTTACTGACTTTGTACATGTAATTATGCATCATTAATCATTGTGATATGTCTTCAAGGATCAGCTTTTTACTATTCATGCTATTTGATTTTGTCAAACGACTTTGATTTCATAAATTTTCTTAGTTCTTCATAAGGTAAATTTGAAAGTCTCCCAGTGAATATCAAAGTATGGAAATTTTTTAAACTTTGTCATGATGGAATTCAAAAAGATATCCAAATTCAATTATTTTACATAACTATGTTGATGTGTTTAGTAAATACTGTGGATTCATTTATTTTCTGGGTACCAATTTTCATGGATTGTGGATATTTGATTTAGTGTTTTTGCCCAAATCTGTATAATTTGTACTTTGTTGAAAATTTAAATTTGTGGTTCACATTTACATGCAAAATCCCTGAAAATTGGTATCCCACGAATAATAATGAAGCCACCATATGACAACAATGCCAGGCAAGATGTCCTCAAAATATTTTTGCTCACGTGGTTGGCTGTGAATGTAGTTTTTGCAATTTTCATTTCAGTTACAATTCTGTGCCGTACTGTCCAGAAAAAGAAAATGCATTCAAACTATGTTATCAAAGTGTTTGGTAGGATTTTGCAAGGAAGTTGAATATGTATATGTCTTTAAAGAGAGGCTGAAAGTTGTTAAATGTGTAAACATATTGAATGAATGACTTTGTGGAAATTAGACTGATTGACATAACAGTTAAGTAGGTATTTTAGGTGAAATCTGGAGAGACCTGATGACCCTCTGTAAAAATGCAGTTTAAATTGTCATGAAGAATTCAGGAGACCAACTAGCAAAATTATTCAATTTTTCTCTGAAGCAAACACATTGCCATATATTCTGACAAGCAGGCCAAGAATAATTACTTATTATTAAGTCAAGTATCCAGTTTTGTACCTGCAAATGGATAGTCCCTCTTGGTTAAAAAAAATGATTGAAAAGAGGCAATATATATATGTGTTTATGGTATAAAATCAGATGTAAGAAACCAATTTTATATTTTATCCATAATGTTTGTCCTGAAAGCATTTCTAGCTAGGTAACATTTTTCATCTTGTTAACTATAATGCTCAGAAAAGACTTAACACAATGTATTGTAGTCAGAATCTTTGAAAGTTTTAGATAGCAAAACAACCAAACAAAATCTGATTTTAAATTAATATCAGCACAGTCATCAGAAACACCACATTTTAAAATGTTCAACCCTTTAAAATTCTATTACACAAGATATAATAGTACTCCATTCATTTGAATGGATTGACATATATTATATTGCTAAGCAATATGTAGGGATGTTCCATTCAAGAATTGGTTGATAATAATTCTGTTTTTTTATTTAATTGATTTTACCTGGTCACTATACAAATATATTATTATATTGAAAAATTACCATGTAAAAATGTCATAAAAACAAAAAAGGTTTAAAATGTAAGTTTAAAAAACTGTTATGTCATTTGGTCTGATTTTGTTTATTTTCCTTTTTTACTGTTTACTTGTGTGTATATATATATATATATATAGCTTATAATTAGTATGATTAATGAGGGTTTATAGATTTATTAGCCAACTTATATTATTTATGTGTTCTTATATTTATGATGATGTGATTATCATATAGTATATTCATTTATGCTTTAGCATTGTAAAGCCATTCATTATCAGTGATATTTCTCTTTAAAAAAATAGAAAATACATATTTCAATATTTTAGTACCTAAAACATTTGCCACATCATATTAACATGATTACACATTAATTTTTCGAATACATTATAGAAACACAACTGTCTCAAAATGATGCTCAATTACTTGTAATTATCCATTTAACACATTTGCATTAATTGTGTTCCTAGTTATGCTGAAATCACAACTCATTTTGTATTTTCATGGAGCTACCTAGAAATACATTTCATCTTCAGTTTAAAACTGACGTTATAGTGTTTTTGATAGGTGTTAGTACAACATAATTTAGAGCTCAAAGCATGTCTCTGTTGATATCAATTGTACATAATATATTTTGTTTATTAAATTGATTTAATTGAACATGATGAAAAGAAATCACTGAGTAAGCATGGTAAGTGATTTAGATTACTTGATAAGAAGGAATCCAAATATTATGTGAACACGGTGAATACATTTTTTTTCAGCTTTATAATAATGTAATATCTATGAATTTGATTATTTATTACTGGACTAACATTTTTTCAATACTTCATATTAATTTAGGTTGTAATTTGGTGCCAAATTATTTGTTAATCTTATCAATAATAAAAATAGTTTATAACACTATTACCAGTAGAAAATATTTTGTACTAAAGCTAACCTTTTATAGAATTGTGTTTTTTTTTTTGCTTATTATCATGATCATCTTTTCAACTTTTTAATGTTTTTTTCAATGATTATTTTGATGAATTATGAGAAAAAAAACTTGTTTGTATAATATCTTTAAAGGATACATTGTTAAAAGTAGACATGTTTGATGATACAAATATTTACCATTATTATTATTAAAGATCTAAAATGGGATAAATGCTTCAGTGTTAATTATTCCAAGCAGAAAAGTCAAAGCAGTTGAACAAAAAAGTCATAATAGGAATATTTTGACAACATACATTTTTTTTATTAATCTTTATGATCAGTGATTTCTTATACTGTTAAATATTGTAAGAAGACAATCCTACCTCTGGTGAATATTTGTAATGCTTTGCTGAGCTTGTACATGTAGATATTTATTACGTTTCTTATCTATATTCCAACATGTTCTATAATTAATTGATAATCAAAACATTTTAGTTTGAATACAGTCATGTGATTGTCTAAATTTAGATTCTGTTGAATTTTCTAAGGTGGTAAATATGGTAAATGCAATTCTTATGCTTGGTAATTTAGTGCTAACACCTTTAAAAAATATTCATTGCTAGTTTTGTGCAATAAAATCAGACATTTTTATGTGTGAGTCCTTGACAAATCCTTTTTTACCAAAGAAGAAAGCATTGACAATTTTTTCTGGAAATGCAGGAGGAAAATTTTATTTTTATTTCTTTGCAAAATACCAGTTTTGAAACTAAAAAAATTGATTAGAATAGATTTAATTAGAGAAAAAGTCTAGGAAATTATGATTTATATTGCATTTGTTTTAATGATAAAAACTTACAGTTATGGTATAAGTAAATTTTTTATAGATTTGTATAATTCTTTAGATTCACTAACACAACACACTTTTTATTTAAGGAAAATTTTAATAAAGAAAGTGATTGCACATTATTTCACTGGCAAAATTCAAATTTTTACACTTAAGTGTAGTGGCTAATTTTCTTTTGAAATATGAATTCTTGCATACCTTTTCTGAAAACAAAAATTGTTGCCTTGTGACAAAAATGTATAAAAGAACTGAAATCTTCATTGCATTTTGAATTAAACCGGAGCTTATTACATTAAAGTCATTGCATTCAAGTCAGACACATTTAAAAAAATATTGAAGAAAATTGGTTTATAATTGTTTATTTATTAAACATGTCAAAGCACAATGATCAAATCTAGGAGAAGCAAACTGTTTTAGTATTTTTGATGATGTAACATCAATCTTTTTGTCAGTTTAACATTTATGTTCATATGAATGAGCCATATGTCAATGTATGTATATTTCTAAATTATAAATGCAAAGATTTACTTTCTGTTATCTGGTTATTATATATCAATTATAAGATTGTGTAAGGTTGGTTTTTTTAAAGTAATTATTATTTGATAATCTATGCACGTTATAGAAGTTTGGAGATTTAACTGATATATGATTGTTTGAATGTATAATGTTTAATATAATTTATACTACTGTTTATATTTTAAATAAATCTTTTTTTTTACTACATGGTTATGCTTTTATTAACATGTATGTCAGATATTCTTAAAATGAGTATCTTCCTTCTTTCTGGTGTCATACCCACTGTCAACAGCTAGTGGTGAAGTTCTCTTTAAACATTAAAAACTTAAAATGCATCTTTTTGTCCCCAAGTTGAAGCCTTGCGGGAGGACATAGAACTTCTGTGTGTCCAAGCTTCCGTACGTCCAGTCTTGTAAGCACTCTTGCATGTACAATTCTTGGCAGATAAACTATTTTTATGTCCCTTGGAAATATATTTTCTACAGAAAATTGCATTGTAAGGGCTCTCATGTGCAAAGTTCTTGCAGGATATTTATGAAATTTATATCAAAGGTTTAAATCAGCATTGTCTTGGAATTTTTTTATGTTATTACCCTTGTCCGTCTGTGTGTATGTACGTCCCAAAATTGGTTTATGTTCTCTAACTTTATGCCTCAACCAACTGTTATAAAACTTATACACAATGCTTATTACCACAAGACACAGATCAAGTTTGAATTTGGGTGGCGTCACTTTTACCTTTCTTGAGTTATGCCCCTTTACAAATGAAAAAATTGCTGAACTTTCTGTTTCTGTTTTTATGCCCCCCTCCGTAGCGGAGGGGGCATTAAGTTTTACCCTTGTCCGTCTGTACGTATGTCCGT